CTGAGGAATGCTATGAAAACAAAATGGCTGCCACTAATGCATAAACTCAGCTGAAGCTTCTATTCCATCAACTACCATAAGGCTTATATGAAGAGCAGTTTCTTGAGTTATACCCACTTCCTACTCTGAATTGCGACAATCACTCACTCAACGTGATGGGTGTACATGCAGCCAAGCAGGATACAATGATGGTCATGTTTTTTGGAATCATCGAAGCTCTCTACGTGTTCTTCTCTTGTTCAACACAGCGCTGGGAAAAACTCAAAAACGATGTGCCTGTGGTTATTAAGAAGCAGTTCGAAACCAGGTGGAGAGACTTCAATTTCTCCAGGACATGATAGACAATGAAAACGAGACCAGTAAAACAAGAAGTGACGCAAGGCAGCTCTATAACCGCATGTTGAGTTACGATTTTCTGACTTTGCTAGGATTTTGGAACAAAGTACTCATTCACATTGACCGTATTCAAAAGAGGCTGCAGGATCCTACCATGAACTTCCACGATGCTGCCCTGGATTTGAAAGCCCTCCAAGATCATTTGGATGATGAAAGAGAAGTGTTGGTTAGTGAGTCACTCGAAGAAGGACTCGGTCTCTGTCAAGAATGGAATATTGAAGTTGAAAGACGTCAGAGACGAATGGCTAATGAGAACTCGAGAAACGCTGGGTTAACAGCCAAGGAGAAAATGGAAAGAGTTATGAAAGGAACATTCGACCATCTTCACAGAGAAATGGACGAAAGGTTCGCGCGTTTGCACGACACTGACGCCAAACTTGGGTTCCTTCTCAATGCCGACAGTAACGACCTAAAGAAGAAGTGCGAAAATTTGGGCGATTTCTACAGCTCTGATGTTGAAGGACAGCAGCTATATGAAGAAATTTTGGATTGCAGAATGTTGCTATCAAGTCGGGCCAACATGAAAATATCAAGACTCGAAGAGCTTCTCGAATTTATTGTTCAGAATGGAGATGAGAGCGTCTTCCCCAATCTTCACATTGCTATTCAGATAATGCTAACCATCGCAGTTTCCATCGCTAGCTATGAGAGATCATTCAGCAAGTTAAAACTAATACTTTCGTATTTGAGGGCCTCCATGGGTCAAGGCAGACTATGTGATCTTGCTCTGCTGAGTGCGGAAAGAGAAGAAACTGACTTTGAGCACATCATAGACCAACTTGCATCAGTGAAAGCACAGAAGGTGCAGTTGTGATTTTCATGTAGTACCATAATTTGTTAATTAAAAGATTAAGGAGCTTGACTTGTATTTTTGAAGTGATATTATGGTAAAGTTATCTAAAAGATGGGTGTCAGATGTTTGGACAGGAGCGCAATTTCAGTGTTTGCCATAGGCGCTATTTTCCGTAGATACGCCCCTGATTCTTCCTTCTTTCATTGAATAAATTCCACATTTTCGAATCAATTTCTGTGAATTTCATCTTTTAATTTTCCATTCTAACTTCCAAACCTTCAATTTCGACCCTCAAATTTTCCATTTCTAATTTTGTTGTCTCTTTCTTTTCTTCATTTGAGAGAGCTTCATTATATTTCCCCCAAATTTGAAAGGTATTAATGTGGGATTCTCTTGAATTGATTTTTACATAATTTACTTAATGTTTCAGCTTCCCCAAAATGCAACTTTTCTTTAATTCAAAAAAATCTCTTATAATACTGTTTAGATCACAAAATAATATCTTCATTTTCCTTTTCCTTTTCATCTTCTGTTTCCTGGAAATTATAATTTCTTTCTGTTTTCTGCCTGAGTCCCTTCCATTAATGGAATGCATAACAAGAAGATATGATCAATATCAAGAAATACTAAAATAAAGCAGTTACTAAGACTTACGGTAAAGAAAAATTCTAAGTAAAATTATATCCTTAACAGTGACCTTTGAAGTCACGAAACCGGTAGAAAAAAGTAATAGAGGATAGAAAAAATGGAACAGTCTGATATGCCATTGCTTTCTTATATATATATTTATTTATTTCATAAATAAATAAGTAAATGTTTTCTAAGGGGGCGGCATCCTATAG